TAGGAATAGCAGTTATTTACCAGGAAAATTGAAAATACAAATGCAATAGTACAAAACAAAAACTCCAAACCACTGCCAGAGTGAGGACAGGAGCTTTCCCCTGTGTGTCAGGGAGGTGACACAGCCCCATCCCAGGGTGGCTCAGCCCTCCTGCAGTGCCAGCTGTGCTTCTGCTGGAGCAGGATCCTGCACAAGGGGGGAGTTTTCCTCTGGAGCTCCAGGGCTGGGGGAGATGGGCCTGGGCTCCTCTGGGAATGCAGGGGGCAGAAAGCTGCTCCTCTGGGAATGCAGGGGGAAGAAAGCTGCTCCCCTGGGAATGCAGGGGAAAGAAAGCTGCTCCTCTGGGAATGCAATGGGAAGGAAGCTGCTCCTCTGGGAATGCAGGGGGCAAAGGCTGCTGTGCTGTTCCCAGGTCAGATTGGATCCAGGTAGGAATGCTTGGCTCCTCCCCTGGGTGGAGCATCTCCCCATGGATGATGGAATTTTCTCAGCCATGCAGGGACACTCAGTGGCCATGAACAGCAGAGATCTCCTGGAGGGAGGATTGGTTGTGGGAGAGATAAAGAAAACTGCCCATGGACAGCAGAGAACTGCCCCAGCTCTGACAGATGGTGACAGAACACATATTGAGGTACCATGGGGAAATCTCCACACACTTGGTCAGGGTTTCTTTGAGGGATTTGTGGTTTAATGTCAATGTTTTCATGGTATTTTCATGATGTTGTTCAAGGGGATTCCACTGCTCCCAAATCCCCCCACTGTGTTTGGTTTGCAAGTTGCCCGGTGTGTGTGGTGGAGAGCCAAGCCCCAGCCCAGCTCCCTGCTCAGGGGCTGGTGGACAGCTCTGCAGAAGGGGCAGGAGCCCCGGTGGCACCCCGAGGAGGGGGCACAGTGCTCAGATGGAACATTTGGAGAGGTAAAACCCTGTCAGTGCCCTGGCCCCAGCGCCAGCCCCTGCTGCTGATGGGGTCAGCACGGGGATGGAGCCAGCAGCACGCTCCATTCGTGGTCTGAGTGTCCCAGGGGCTTGCTGGACACCCATCAGCAGCCCCAGGGAAGCTGGAGGAGGTTTTTGTGTTTCTGACATGGACACTTCGGCTGCATTCAAAGTTAGCCTGTCCTGTGGCAAGCACATTTCTCTCCCTCTCAGGCTTTTTCATAGAGGTGCACAGAGAGAAATGAAAGAGAAAACAATTTCTATTTCTGCTCCTTGTTTTTTCTATGTGGAATGTGTTTGGAGAATTGTTTACCTGGGGTGATGGCTTGGTTGGATTCTGGTGAGGATTGTTTGAGCCTGGTGGCCAATCCAACCCACCTGGGGCTGGGTTCTCAGAGTTGTGTTAGAGACAGAGTCAGAGAAAGTAGTATGTAGTTTTAGTATCCTCCTTTTATATAGTACATTGATGTATTTTAGCATAGTTATAATAAAGAAATAATTCAGCCTTCTGAATTTTGTCAGACATCAGAATTTCTTCCCAGGGTTTGCCTGCATTTACAATACTGTCCCACAATGGCCTGGGTGGGAAGGACCCATCCAGTGCCACCCCTGCCATGGGCAGGGACATCTCTCCCTGTCCCAGGCTGCTCTAACCTGGCCCTGAACACATCCAGGGATAGGAATTCCAGCCTGGACCAGCCTGCCTGTGCCAGGACAGACCTTTTACCCCAGACAGGCACCTGCACATTCCCATGAAGATTTTATGGATTCCCCCCTCAAGGGCTTTCCCATCCCAGTGCTTCAGAGCTCTCCCCCCTGCCCCTCCTGGGCCCCTTTTTGCTGTTTTCTCCCCCTTTGAGCCTTGGGTTTAGTTTTAAGTTCCTGTCTGAGGGTGCTGAGGGTTCCTGAGGCACAGCTACACATCCGTGGGGGCCTCTGGCACGGGAGCTGGGCTCCTTTGGGGCATCCCTTGTTAGAGCTGAGATGTGCTGGGTTCCAGAGGCTCTGCAGGGTTTCTGCTGAATATTACAGCTTTAAAAAGCCTCATATATCTGGGCAGCAGAACTGAATCCAGGATTTCTCACTCCAGGGTATCATGGCTCTCCTCCAGCACTAAAACACACCACAGGATCCAGGTAGGAGCTCTTTTCAGCTCTTCAGCCCTCAGGGGAAAGGCATTGTCATTTTTTTTTTTAATGGTTGTAGAAGCCAAAGCTTTGAAAGTGTTTTCAGGAATGTTTTAAATCCATGGTTTGCTGCTATTCCATCTGTGGCTGAGCTCAGGGGGTGCAGGGCTGGAGTTTCCTTCGCCCAGGGGCTGTGGTGCCCCATGGGGTCAGCAAACACTGAGCCTGCACTGCAAGCCCAGCCCAGGGGCAGACCTAAACTCTCAGGTGATTTGAAAACTCACTGTAATTGCTTTTGGTGATTCTTGGGGCTGTCCAAGAGTTGGACTCGATGACCCTTGTGGATCCCTCCCAGCTCTGTGCTTACCCTGGGATGGTGATTGTCCAGAGAAAACAGGAATTGGTCGCTGCCTGAACGCTTTGTGGTGGGTCTGGAAACAAATGAAGGGGGTGCAAAGGGCTGGAAGTGTCTGTCCAGTGATAGCAGAGCTGGAATTGCCTCTGAGTGTCTCTTGGCCAGGTAAAATTCCCATTTTAGTGCCGAGCAGGTGTCAGAGGGAGCAACGTCTCAGAGTGAAACCCACGAACTGGCAAGGGCTGGGAAATTACAGATGTGCTTAATGAAACAGAACCCCTTGTTTACGTTTCTAATGTGCTGCTGGAGCAAACTGGCTCCCAAATAAAAATACTTAAAATTACGATTAGGATTTATTTACATAATTGCTGCCAGAGAAATTCCTGGAGGGTGCTGAGCAGTGCAAGAGGAGCCTCCTGGCTCTCCCTCTGTGCTTGCCCGTGTCTCCAGGTTGGTTTGCTCCTGGGGTGCTGGAATCCGTGGTATTGATAATTCTGAGATTGTAGAAAGTCTCTGTCAGCCCTGCTGCCAAAGCAGAAGTCATAACTGGTCTGTGCTGGTTTCCAGGTTGTTTATTCTGTTTATCTCTCACATGTTCTGCTGCCCTGCCCAGCTCTGTCCTGCAGGGCAGCGTGTGGGGCTCTGCCCTCAGTGGGATGTGACAAACATTCAATACCAGAAACTCCCTGTGCTGGATTTACAATAACGTGCCAATATCTGTCACCTACGTTGGACAGTGTGTCCCCAGCCTGAACCAACAGAAAAATGCCAACACCACAGTGAGACATGGAGGGCATGAAGAAGGAGGAAAAGGACAAGGCACACCCAATTTCCTCCAGCTTGTCCCCTTTGAACCCCTAATCTAGAACCCTAAAACTTTACTTTTGCACCCGTGTCACACTTAATTATTACTGATATCAAACACTCAGAGCTTGCAATTCATCCTGTAAGATTGAAAACTCTTTTGCATGGCCAGAGATCACAGCCAGTGTCTCTGGGGGCTCTGTCCAGGGGGTTCCTGACCCCTGCCAGGGTCCCAGACCCGCCAGAGGGATGTCCTGGATTCCCCCACTGGAGGGTTTTGTCAAAGCTGTTCCTAGCCCAGGCAGCAGGAAGGCTTTGGTTCCTATGGGATCCATCTGTGTTGTCTGTATATTGGCTCACTGGCTGAGGCACAGCCAGGTCACCCTGGTGCTGCTGGCTGGAGCAGCATTCCAGAGGTGGCACCTCCTGCTGGGGCACAGAACGTGCCAGCACCCAGGGCGGGCTCTGAGCAGCCCCTGCCCCGTGCACTGGGGGCTCTGGTGGCTTCCAGAGGCTCTCCCAGCCTGTCCTGGCCACCTCCAGCCCCAGGGAGTCCCTGGCCAGCTCGGGGTGGCTCTGGGGACTCTGCTGATTTATTGCTGCTGGATATGTGCAGCACAATAGGTCTGGGATGAGCTTGTGCTGATTGAATGCAGCCCCGGGCATGACAAATCTTCCTCTTAATATTTCAATTGACTTTGGCAAACTTCTAAATCACAGAGTGAGTGCTGCTGACAGTAATTCTCACTCCTGCCCTTCCCTGGGGCTGGGACCTGTGGGGTTTGCAAACACTGCTCCAGCCTCCCATGGAGAGGGATTTCTCCTCAGCTGTCAGATTTGGGAAATGGGAATGTTCTTTGTGGGGCCCTGCTCCAGTGTGGATGTCCTGCTCTCAGTGGGGTGTGGAGCTGGGGCCCTGGAGTGACAAACACCTTGCTCAGGGTGGTTGGCTGGACCCTCTGAGGGGGCTGCATGATCCAGGTGGGGTCTCAGGGCTGTCCAAACCCTTCCCTGCCTTTGGAAGCTGCTGGGCAGCACTTGGGGCTGCCCCTGGATCCCCGGCAGTGCCCAAGGCCAGGCTGGATGGGGCTTGGAGCAGCCTGGGATTGTGGAAAGTGTCCCTGCCCATGCAGGGGTGCTTCAGGATGGGCTTTAAGGTCCTCTCCAACCCAAACACTCGAGGATGCTGTGACCTGTTACCTGCAGGTCCGTGCAGAGCCCTGTGCTCTCTGTAAAACAAGAGGACGCATTCTCAAGCTATGTCAGGGAAGGTTTAGGTTGGATATTAGGAAAAAAATTTTCACTGAAAGAATAATAAAATACTGTAATTGTCTTCCTAGGGAGGTGGTGGAATCACCATCTCTGGATGTGTTTAAAAAAAGACTGGACTTGGCACTTGGTGCTATGGTCTAGTTGTGGTGTTAGGGCATAGGTCAGACTTGATGATTTTAGAGGTCTCCCAACCTCGTTATTCTGTGATTCTGTGATTTTGTAATTATTTCCAAGGCTGAAATTTGCAGGACTGAGTGTTGGAAATCCTGTTTCCCTAAGGCTCCACTGCTCTGGCTCCCCTCACTCCTCTCCAGCACCCAGAGGCAGCAGCTGCTTTGCTGTTTGTTCCTTCAGACCCCGGCTCCGAGCTCAGCCCACCTCTCACACACCCACCTGCAGCCTGGGGTGCTGCTCCAGCCCTCCTCCAGGCCAGGCTTTGCTGCATTGCCACGAAACAAAGGCAGATAACGACAATGACCCTCTCTTTTCCCCGTTTTGGTGGCAGGGAGAAGATGCCATTCCACCATGTGACAGCTGGCTTGTTGTACAAGGGCAATTACCTGAACCGCTCGCTCTCGGCCGGCAGCGACAGCGAGCAGCTGGCCAACATCTCGGTGGAGGAGCTGGATGGTGAGTTGGATGGAGAGCTGGATGGGGCTCTGGGGGGGGACAAGGCTCCCCTGCACCTTCTCTGTGGTGGAAAAGGGCAGGTGGGACGTGGGGTGGCTCAGTCGATCAGGTTCACAGAGAACGCCCCTGAGCAAAATTGCGTTGGGAGCTATGGAGTGATTTTAGTCTTAGCTTTTTTGTCCCTCTGCAGCTTTTTGATATATTAAGCCTGCATTTTGTGGGCAAAATGAGAAAATTTAGGGTCATGCTGCCCCAAAGATATCTTTATCTTTCCCTGGGACTCTGCAGAGTTGAGTCTGCTCTTCCCACCAAGTCTCATTTGCTTTGAGGCCTTCCCAAAGGGAGGCTCCTCTCCACGTCTCAGGGTAAGAGGTTGCATGGAGGTGGCTTGTGGCTTAAGAAGATGGAAAGAGCTTTAAAATTCCATTTTCCAGATCAGTGGTAGGGAGCACAGAGCAGCCTTAGTCTGGCACAGGCCATCAGGAAGGCTGCCTGGAGGATCCCATCATTTTCCCCCTGGAAGCTGCTGTTGTTAATCCTCTCTGCCCTGGCCCTGGATGTGTGGCCAGGCAGAGGTTCAGGTCCCCATCGGGTCCAGGGGAGAAGGTCTCTTTTGTAGAGGATTTGTGGTTCACCAGGAGAATTTCTGAGGTGAATAATTAGAGTTAATGTCGTTGAGTGTTGTGGAATGAATTGGAGCTCTTGGTTTGCTCTCCAGTGGACACTTGGTACAAGCCATGGTCAGAATCAGGGGCCTCCATGGAGAACTTTTTGAGGGAAGGATCAAGGGAAGGGTGTAAAGTGGAACTGGTCCTTCTAGGACAGCCTGGAGGCATTTTGGAGAAACAGGAGGCCAACATTTCTGACTACCCTGGCCCTTTTCTTTCGTGCTTTGGTAAATCAAACCTTCATTTCCCAGCCTTTCCAACTCAGAGCCTTTGGATTTGGGTTTGTGAGCTTGACATGAATTTAGCTCAGGTACCAACAGTGTTTTCCTCTTCCCAATGAGGGTGTGAGGACACAGCTTAGATGAGAGACAACCTGAGAAACTACTTCACTGCAGCTCAGCTCAGACCTAGAATCCCCAGCACTGCCAAAGTCACATTCTGGGCTCTTCTCCTGGAGCTTGGCTTGAAGGTTTGAGTTCAGCTGAACTGAGCTGGCCCAAGTTCTCCTCACCCCAAAGATGCCAATGGCACGGCCAAGGCACAGCTTTGCCCTGTCCCTGTGTGGGTTGTTGGGGCTGCTGAGCTCACACGAGGTGGGAGGAGGTCCTGCACTCACTCTGAGCACAAACAAGGATTGTCTCTTAGCCCTGTTCCCATTCCAGGCTGCTGGAATTGCCTGTGAGATTGCAGAGATGTGTCAGGAGCTGCTCCAAGTGGCCACGGGGCTGGAAGCCCCGGCAGGGCCAGGCAGGGCATGGGGGATGCTCATCCCTGCTCTGCATCCCCTGTGTGCATGGAAACCGGCCTGGGTCAGGGAACCGGGCTGGGCTGTGTCACAGAACCGGGCTGGGCTGGGTCAGGGAACCGGGCTGGGCTGGGTCACAGAACCGGGCTGGGCTGGGTCACAGAACCGGGCTGGGCTGGGTCACAGAACCGGGCTGGGCTGGGTCACAGAACCGGGCTGGGCTGGGTCACGGAACTGGGCTGGGCTGGGTCACAGAACCGGGCTGGACTGGGTCAGGGAACCGGGCTGGGCTGAGTCACAGAACCGGGCTGGGCTGTGTCACGGAACCGGGCTGGGCTGTGTCACAGAACCGGGCTGTGCTGGGTCACGGAACCGGGCTGTGTTGGGTCACGGAACCGGGCTGTGCTGGGTCACGGAACCGGGCTGGGCTGGGTCAGGGAACCGGGCTGGGCTGGGTCAGGGAACCAAATCCAGCCCCAGTCCCCCTTCCCCTGCTGTCCCAATCCCGATCCAGGAGCCTCGGGCACGGCTCTGTCCGCGGGAGCTGCGGGAGGAGCTGGAGCCCAGCCCTGGAAGAATCCAGAACCATGGATCGCTGCTCTTAATGAAGGGAAATGAGGGAAATGAGGGTGGAGGAGCCGCCTCGGGAGAAGGAGCAGCCCAGTGCTGTTGGCTGCAGTCCCACTGAGGTGGGATCCCACTGAGGATCGTTCTCTCCTCTTGCTCCGGGAGGTTGGGCACAGCTCTTCACCTCAGCATCCATTTATTCCCTGCTTTTCCCGTGCTCTCCACTCCTCTTTGTGCCTTTGGCGTGAGGATGTCCCCAGCTCTGGGACAGCGCACCTCAGGTCATCTTCTTCCACCTGCAAACACAGCAGTGGCACCAAAGGGATGAGTGTCTGAAAAGCCAGGGCAGCAGAAGAAGCTGGAGATGCTTTTCCATGTGCCAGCAGTATTCAGCCTCTGGAATTTGTATTTAAAATGAAGTCAGCAGTCTCCATCTCCTTGTGTTTTGTCTCTAATACCAGATCAGTGCCTGACTCTGCTGGTAATTGGGGAAGGTTCACTGCCCAAACCCCAAACAGAATTAGTCTTTCTGCCTTTAAGCATAAACTGTCTGAGGATGAGTAACAAAATGTTCTTCCTTGAGAAGTTAATGTCAGGCTATTGGAGCTCTGTGGATGGATCAAGCTGTGAGAGCTTGATGCCAATAACAGATTTGCATTTCATCTCCCAGGCTGGGGAAGAGATGCCAAAATTCTCCTTGGTTTCTTTTTCAATGAGATTTTGGTCCTGAGGGAGTTCCAGCCTATTGAGAAATTCCAGTCACACAGATGAAATTATGATAGGTTTGGAGCTGGAGGAGTCACTGGGAATTTTCTGTAACGTTCCTCTGCACTCAAGGCTCCAACAAGTGCCTGATCTGTTGGGTTCTTTCCAGCAGATTTCTTTTTTTTCTGTGTCTGGCACTGTGTATGTCAGCACTGTTCACTTGGGAAGGGTTTCTGGGATGCTGCAGGGGGACAGTGCTGCAGCCTGACCCCCTCCCAGCTCATCCTGAGGGAATTCCCAGGAGTTCTCCCTGTTGCAGCTGCAGGTGGGGGCTGGAGGAGAATAGGGAGATCAGGAGATAGAAAAGAGCTCTGATTTCAAGTCCTGTAAGGGGGAAGAGCCCAGGGCTTGGGGTGAACACCCAAAGTACTGCTCAGCTTCTTCTCTGAGAGGTTATTTTCCAAATGAATATTCAGAATCCCAGAATCCCAGGATGGTTTGGATTGGAATGGACCTCAAAGCCCACCCAGTGCCACCCCTGCCATGGCAGGAACACCTCCCACTGTCCCAGGCTGCTCCCAGCCCTGTCCAGCCTGGCCTTGGGCACTGCCAGGGATCCAGGGGCAGCCACAGCTGCTCTGGGCACCTGTGCCACCCTCCCAGGGAACAATTCCTAATTCCCAATATCCCATCCATCCCTGCCCTCCAGCAGCCATTCCAGCCTCTGAAAGCCAGCCCAGGTCTGGAAGTGGCACCATGATCGGGCTCTGAGGGACTGGGGAGCATGGAGGGGTCTGGGGTGGATGTTACTGCCACGTGCTTGGAGGTTTCTATGCATGAAATGATGAATGCAGGCTGGGAGGGGCTGTTTTACATGGATTTTTCTGGCTCTTGTTGGTTGACATAAAATCATGGCACAGTTTGTGCAGACTCTGAGCTTTCCACGTCCCTTTCAAGGCAGCTCCTGTCCTCACGTTCTGAACCATCAGGAGTATTTTTAATAAAAAATGCTGGATGGAAATAATCATGTCAAGCTTGAGTCATCCACCTCCACAGGCACTATCTAAAGGGTATTGTCAGGAGGGAAAAACATTTCCAGAGTGGGAATGTGACAAATCTCACCTGAAGGGAGGCACATGCATGATAAGCAGGCTTGGGGGAGATGCAAGCAGGGCCTTGCAGAGAAACCCAGATGTGAACCATGGCATTTGTCCTGGCAGACATCCCAATAAATCCTTACCTGAGCCAGGTGCCTTTGGAATCAGCAGGAGGAAATGTTGCAGGGCAGTGCTGGCATCTGGTGGAATGGAACTCTTGCCTCCAGGAGTGGGGCTGGGGTGTCTGTAGGGTTTTTTTCTAGACTGGGGGAGATTTTTGGGTTTCATACAGAAATCACTGGGTTGGAAGAGACCTTCAAGATCATCGAGTCCAACCCAGCCCTGACACCTCAATTCACCCCTGGCACCCAGTGCCACATTCAGGCTTTGTTAAACACACCCAGGGATGGGGACTCCACCATCTCCCCGGGCAGCCATTCCAGAACTTTATCACCTTTCTGTAAAAAACTTCTTCCTAATATCCAACCTGAGTTTCCTTTGGTGCAGCTTGAGACTGTGTGCTCTAGTTCTGTCAGTTCCTGGAGAAAGAGCCCAACCCCACTGAGCACAGGCTCCTTTCAGGGAGTGTAGAGAGTGCTGAGGTCACAGTACAGCCCCCAAGGTCGAGCTCCAGGGTGGCACTGCAGGGTTGTGCCTGGCTGAAGTGCAGGTGTGAGCAGAGCAGGACAAGGAGAAGGGGCTGCAGGAGCCTGGGATGCAGGGGAACACAGGACAGGGACGTGGGGACTTCCCTCGCCAGGAGCCTTTCCCATCCTTGTGGGTTACAAACCACAGCGGGTGCCTGAGTTCTGCTTTTCTTCCCAGCACCTCCCCTCTGCCAGCAGCTCTCAGCTGGTCTCTCTTTCCTGGGTGGAGAAGACAACCCTGAGGGAATTTAAGGGAATTTAAGGGAATTTAAGGGTCCTGGCTAAGTGCTGCTCCACACAGAGTGGGATGAGCAGTTGTCTCCTGCTGGCCAGCAATGCAGGCAGGGCCAGGGGCTCACGGGCTGGTGGGGCTGCAGCCCCAGGAGCAGGGCTGGGGACACTCTGGGACACTCTGGGGACACTCTGGGGTCACACAGCCCGGATAAAACGGCCCGACATCACAAACACAGCTTGCCATCCTAACCCTGCCTCTGTAAGCCAGCCCAGGCCAGGCTCTGGCGACACATCTGGTGACAATCCTGGGGTGTTGAGAGGCCTGGCAAGGAGGGGC